GTACTTTAGCAGGCAGTCTTCAGGACCCCCCCCCCCCCCGCCAAGAATGTAAGTTTGGGTTATCCTTCAACTACCTATCGGGGTCCCTTGTGCCTCGTGTGCTTGTGAGGGTCTTGGCCAAGGTGGAGGACTTGGTTTTTCTCAACCTTACGCTGAGCAGCTTGCTGATTGACCCGGACACCAGCCGGCAGCCTCGACAGGCTGAAATTAGAAAGGGGGGAGGGAGAGATGGAAAAGGGCGCCTTTGCCTGGGGGTACCTGAGAGAAGCAGAAGGGGTGACTTCACCGGGTGAAGGTCAAGATAAGCCAGGAGCGGACAGTTTGATGGCAGGCCTGTCTCAGGATACGTTTGAGACATCCCCTGCGCGTATTGTTGGTCCTGGTGTACAGGGTAAGAAAACGATTTTGCTAGGAAGAGCTCTCCCTAGACCCAGAAACCAGAAGCTCCGAGGATACAAGGGATTTCGCTGCGAGGCTGCTTTCAAATCCCTGAAGGGAAAATCCAAGCAGAACAACAAACTGAGGGAGGCATTTTGCCTGAATCTCCGAATTGGACGTTTGGCATTGGGCCGGCAATCTCGCAGGTCTTCAATGCGTCGGTGTCGCTGACAAGGCGCTGTCGCACAGCCGGCCAATGGGAGCACGCGGAACTTTGCATACGGACAGTGTTTAAGAGAGGTTTTTGTAAGGGTGCGTGTCCTTTGTTGTTTCCCATCAAATACCAGCCAAAGGGGTTCGCCACTTGTAGAACTTCCATATGACAATGTGCGTGCCACGGGCACAAATCAAGGTTCCTGGTAAGGCAGCTTATGTTTTTCCCCCGATGTTCGGAATGCCCAACTGGGCGCTTCAGAAACATTGATTCACGGGTAGTTAAAATGAGAGACTGTTGCTCAAGAATGCACCTAGCAGTGTGTCGCTGGAACTTTCCATAGATCATGCTTGCTGTGGATTTACCCATCCGCCTTCGCAAGAGAGCCAAGTTTGGACGGCCTTTAAGGCCAGATGTTGCGAAGCGTTTTGAGTTTCCATGCACATCTCATATAAGTGTATTGGCTGTCTCTCCCACCCTTGGGCATTCCTCTGTGCTGCTGCCCCAGGTTGACATTGCCCTCTTTGTTCCAAAGAGCATCTCAGACGCTGCCCATTCGAGCTTTCTCATTGACTCGCGGAGCATCAGCCTGCAGCAACTTGAGAGGTTGTGACACATAAGTAACATGTTCTTGTGTTTTTTGTTTATCAAAAACTAGACGACGAGTGGCCCGGAAGCATAGAGGCAAGTTGATGCAGGTGAGGTAACTCTCGCAAAGTTAGCATGAGGAGTTGGCAGGCGAAGCAATTCTCAAAAAGTTGGCATGAGAAGCTGGCAGGTTAAGTAACTCTCGAATAGTTGGCTGGCAAAGTTGGCGGGTGAAGTAATTCTCGCAAAGTTGACATGAGAAGTTGGCAGGCGAAGTAACTCAAGAGAAAAGTTGGCATGAGAAGTTGGCAGGTGAAATAACTCTCAAAGAGTTGGCATGAGAAGTTGGCAGGTGAAGTAACTCTCGAAAAGTTGGCGTGAGAAGCTGGCAGGTGAAGTAATTCTCGAAAAGTTGGCACGAGAAGATGGCGCGTGAAGTAACTCTCGAAAAGTTGGCGTGAGAAGCCGGCAGGTGAAGTAACTTTCGAAAAGTTAGCATGAGAAGTTGGCAGGCGAAGTAATTCTCGAAAAGTTGGCGCGAGAAGTTGGCAGGCGAAGTAACTCTCGAAAAGTTGGCAGGCGATGTTGGCAGGTGAAGTACCTCTCGAAAAGTTGGCATGAGAAGCTGGCAGGTGAAGTAATTTTGCGAAAAGTTGCCACGAGAGGTTGGCAGATAAAGTATTTCTCGAAAAGTTGGCATGAGAAGTTGGCAGGTGAAGTAATTCTCGAAAAGTTGGCAGGTGAAGTTGCCACGAGAGGTTGGCAGGTAAAGTATTTCTCGAAAAGTTGGCATGAGAAGTTGGCAGGTAAAGTAATTCTCGAAAAGTTGGCATGAGAAGCTCGCAGGTGTAGTAACTCTCGAAAAGTTGGCATGATAAGCTCGCAGGTGAAGTAACTCCTCGAAAAGTTGGCACGAGAAGTTGGCAGGTGAAGTAACTCTCGAAAAGGTGGCATGAGAAGCTGGCAGGTGAAGTAATTCTCGAAGTTTCGGCATGAGAAACTGGCAGGTGAAGTAATTAACCCTCAAAAAGCTGGAGCGGCGGAGGCGCTCCGCGTGCTACATTTGCAATTTACAGTTGCGATTTTCCAGCCATTTGTATCTAAAAGTTGCGATTTTCCAGCCGGAGCTGCGGGAGCACGCTCCGCGTACTACGTCTGTACTTAAAAAGTGCGATTTTCCAGCCGGAGCTGCAGCAGCCTCCGCGTACTACGTCTGTACTTAAAAGTTGCGATTTTCCAGCCGGAGCTGCAGGAGCACGCTCCGCGTACTACGTTTGTACTTAAAAGCTGCGATTTTCAAGCCGGAGCTGCCGCGGACCAGGGGGGAATCGAACCCGGGACCGCGGGATTGCGAAAGCAGGCGCGCACACCACGAGACAACTTCCAAAAGCCGTTTCGCGAGCAAGAAATCGCACGGCGCCACAGCGAGAGCGCTTCGACACGCACGATCTCCGCAGAGGGTTCGCCAAGGTCAAGACAAATTCGCACGGCGCCACAGCGAGAGCGCTTCGACACGACACGCACAAGAACGGCGCAGAGAGGCTTCGCGCAGAAGGTCAAGACAAATTCGCACGGCGCCACAGCGAGAGCGCTTCGACACGCACGATCTCCGCAGAGGGTTCGCCAAGGTCAAGACAAATTCGCACGGCGCCACAGCGAGAGCGCTTCGACACGCACGATCTCCGCAGAGGGTTCGCCAAGGTCAAGACAAATTCGCACGGCGCCACAGCGAGAGCGCTTCGACACGCACGATCTCCGCAGAGGGTTCGCCGGTCAAGACAAATTCGCACGGCGCCACAGCGAGAGCGCTTCGACACGCACGATCTCCGCAGAGGGTTCGCCTCAAGACAAATTCGCACGGCGCCACAGCGAGAGCGCTTCGACACGCACGATCTCCGCAGAGGGGTGCGTTTCGTAAGCTCCCGTCGGGCCTACCCCCGCCATAAAAAGAAGAAGAATTAAGAGTTGAGATGTGAAGGTAGAACAGAAAAGTTAGCTTGTGTTTTTAGGATAGTGAAGTAATATCCGACAAATTAGCTTGTGCTTTTAGTAGAATGAGATAACAGCCGAAAAGTTGACATGAGAAGTTGGCAGGTGAAGTAACTCTCAAAAAGTTGACATGAGAAGTAGGCAGTGAGAAGTTGGCAGGTGAAGTAACTCTCGACAAGTTGGCATGAGAAGTTGGCAGGTGAAGTAACTCTCGACAAGTTGGCATGAGAAGTTGGCAGGTGAAGTTGGCAGCCGCTTTTAGAAGAAGAACCCTTCGCAATGCTTCCGGGAAAAAGACAAAGAAAAACACTGAGGCTGTTCAGCGAACACGTGGATGTGTTTCGATTGGAAAGCCGGCCTCAACGGCAGGCCCCAGCCTTGGCGCGGGAAGCCCCGCCTGGCGCTTCTGAACGAGCAGGCGCGCTTGTCAGCGCAAAGCCCAACAAAAAGCCAAGGGAACTGCCGACCGCGAGGGTGCTGTTTCTGCGAAGCATCAACAAATGGACCTATGCAGTAGAGAAAACATGTCTACCAAGTTCATCAGCGACAGGATATATAGCCCAATCTACTTGTTTGGGCCAGCACATTGCAAGCACCCGCGTCAGGGCCTTGCCTTTGACCCATTACATCCCTGGAATGTCACAGTGGTGAGGGGCTTTCATCTCCAAACTTGGGAATGCACTGTTCAGTTGCGGAGTGCCCTAAACTCTGTATCTCCCTGTGTAAGGGCACGACTCCAAACTCTCCAAAAGATAACGGCTGAGTTGATTGGGGCCCAACTTCCTTCCCATTGGTTTTGTGTCTTGCATTTGCAAGAGACTTGCTACAGGCGTGTTCCTGTAAGGTGAACGGGGGGGATTTCCTCCAGCGATGGGTTTCCCTTAGGTTTTCCCTTTTGCGGGGTATGCTTTGGGTTAGTTTCGTGGGACACCGACCTCAATTTGGGTATGGGTCAAAATTAAATCACCAGGGGACCGCATACTTTAGTCCATGTTTCCATTTACCAGGATTCCATTTTGAGCACCTTATTTTTAGCCATTTGGGGGTGCCCATAGCTCTCTATTTCGAAGGTGGCCCAGAACTTGGGCCTCAACGCGGAGGCCGGCGCGCCGTGAGGGAAATCTTGGCATTACGAGATGAGCAAATGGGCGTGTGTTGAAATGGAAGGACCCGAAGTCAGTGAGTCTCTCTTTGGTTTCCAGTTAAAACCAACAATGACACCCAAAAGATTGGTTTTCCTTTTGGTTTTCCTTTACACCAAGTAAGGTGAAAAGGGGCCAACCAACACTCACCAGATGGCCTTTGCACCACAAGCCGAACAAGCAGACAAACATGTGCTTTTGGGGAAGACACTCTTGGTTCCAGACAAAAGGATATGTTGTTTAGCAAATCCTGGAGGTTTACAGGGCACCAGCCAGGCCTTATGTTTTGTCTTTTTGCTCGGGCAGTTGTCAAGTGTTTGATGCTGACAAAGCAATTGCTATGGTGTTTACTCTTGCCGCTTGACTCCTTGACCTTGTCCTGAGCCCCCTTTCTCCATCCAGGTAGTTGCTGTATCTTGTTTGCCTGGAATTGTAGATTGCTTGCAAGTCCTCTGGCTGCTTAACTGCTTTTATCAAGCAGGGCCCTTCCCCAACAAAGGCAAGCTAGGGCAATCGCTGCCTAGCTGCCAAGCAGAGCATGCTTGTCTCCATTGAGGCCCCGCCAGCAAACAGGAAGGTGGGCCCAGAATGGCCTGGCCAATTTGGGGTTTGTCAACAGGGCAATTTTTGGCAAATCTGCCCACAGCTTTGAGATACCACTTTTAGCTTTTTGGGCTCGCCTGGGTGTCATGGTGGCCACCCATCAAGGACTTGACATGCATGCGCACCAATTCCAAGCCAACTTAGCCATGCCCGAATCGGCCCTACGTAGGCCTCAGCAAACCCATGTCAGCTTGGCACATTTCAGCTCCCCGAGGCTGACCTGGAGCCCTTGCTCAGCGGAGCTCGGCTGCCAGCTGGCGCGCGCCCTTTCGCCCACGCCTACGGGGGCCACCAGCCCCGCGGCAAACTTTCCTCGCTGAACATTCCTGTGAAAGGTGCAGGATTGCAACCCGCAAAGACCCGCAATGACCCACAACCGGCTGACTTTGCTGGGCCGGCTGACCTTCGCGCCCATACCCCAGCCGAGCTACTGTCTATGCCAGGTGGTTTTCCCTTCTGTTTTCCCTTGCCCAAACGCTTGAACAAACTTCCTGCAGAGCAAATGCGGGGACCAGTCCCAAAAAAGGCGAAGGGTCCCCCAGTGGCGATGCCCAGCCCCCGAGGTTCGGGTCCTGGTCGGGCCAGCTGGGCGACGGCCGCGCCATGTCCCTGGGCGAGGTCTTGGGCTTTGCGCCGGGGGAGGAGGAGTTTGGGGTTCCCGCGGTCGCGGTTGCCGTGGGGGCTGGGGGGTTTTTGAGGGTGGTACGGAAGCCGTTGAAGTTGCGGGCCCAATGGTTCCATTTGTGGAAGTATGGCGTGGGGATAGCTCCCAACCGTCCTTTTCAGAGTTAATGGGGAATTGTTTTCCGAAAGAATGGTTTTCGCAAAATGAGGAACAAGAAAGATGATATGTGAATGGAATGGTGGCTCGCAGCTTTCAGGCACACATGCCTGGACACGCTGTTTGGCTCAATGTCACGCACCCTCGCCCAAGCAACCAGACAGGGCAAAATATTGGTATGCTTCAGAGTCCTGTCGCTCTGACAGCTTCGACTTGCTGCTCATTCCGCGGACATCCCTATGTTGGCGAAATTTGCCCACTCTGTGTGGTCAGCAAGGTTCCTCGGAGGAGAATCAAAACATTGCGTGATCACACCATCAGCAGTAAACCCTCAGCATATAACCGCAATAACATGCCCTCATTTCTGGCGATGTCATGATATGAGCCCGCCAGAAGAAAACAACACCAACCCTAAAGCGGTTTGCAATCAACCCTGACCCCAGCCAACCAACCCTTAGCCAGTCCAAACCCACCCTAAACCAACCTGTAGCTACCCCAGCTCTTGAACCATCCCGAATGATGAAGAAGTACTTCAGGTGGGTCGACATTGAGCGGGTTCATGGTTGGAACATGCATCAGTAGTTTCCCAACCTTTTCAACTCATTTTTTGGAGGAGCGATCAGAGCGCTGGTGGCCGTGGGAATTGTCTTTGAAAGGCGGGGGGCGACGGTCAGGTACTTCACTGGACAGACCCTACGGACCCTGCGTGATGTTAGTACCTTCCTGGTCGCAGCGACAACGCCATTCGCAGGCACTCATGTCTCGATCGTCTGAAGCATGCATGGTATTTGCTCCTCGTTTAGTTGCAATCCGCGCCTCCAAGTGACACGTCGTTTGCGACAGCCGTTTTGCTTCGGATGCAAATGGGTGGAAGCAAGATGCGAGTGTGCGGCATTCCCCTGAGCTGAACCCACACCGTGATTTATTGTGAACAATCTTCCACCTTTGCAATCTGGCAGCGTCTTGGGGGTCAACCAGACCAGGCAATTGTACCGCGTCCTGGTGTCTGTTTTGAAAGGATCCGACATTTTGAGGTTTACTAAATGGCCAGAATCCCATACGGACCACAATCCAAATGTAGTCCAAAACCATTCAATATGGCCATGGGGCAGAACCTATGGCTCTGGGGTGGATGAACTTCCATTTGCCACCTATTTTGATGTTCACCAGGGGTACAGGGTTTTGATCCACAGCCATATGGACTGAAGACGGTTCTTGGTTGGTCGTCCATGTCGCTCCTGGGGCCTTCATCGAAGGTGCGGGCAAGACGCCCTACAGCCGGGGGGGCGACGGCCGCGCCGCGCTGGCCAACGCCGCACGGGAGTTCTTTGCGCCCCTCGCATCGAAGTTCTAACATCAGCAGCTTGGGTTTGTCTCACAGAGAAACACCAAACATGGCAACGGTCTTCTTTTCGTTTACGTTCAAACTGAACAAGGGTCTCTTTGAAACACCGGGCACACTCATATTATCTTTTGAAAACGTAGCCTTGGGTTGATTGCCAATGCAAACCAGAAGGTAAACGGCCATGGGGGGGTCTCCCTATTTGGCTACATGAGGTTCGGTGAAAGTTACAGATAGTCTACGGGCCACTTAGGAGGGACATGGGGAACTAAGTCACCCTGCAAAAAGGAAAAGACTTGCTAAATTTCCCTTGTCCTTTGGGGAAATGAGCAATTTAGTACATGAGCAGAGCCCAAACCTGTGTTTGTACTATACCACTACCGGGTCTCATGAGGCTTATAGCAAGGCCTAAATACGTATCAATCAATGGGTTTTTGGCGCTGCATGTTTGAAAGAAGGTATATCCCTCGCAAACCTCTACCTTCTGCGCAGCCGCCCTCATGCCAAACGGTGCTACGGGAAACAAATAGATCAGATCCGGATTTTTTTGCAAGTTTTCTGTTTGGGCCTGTGTTGATATTTTGCCGGGGTGGGGAGTGATGTTGCTTGAGGGGTGGCCCTGGTAAGCGCCCGCAAAGTGGGTTCCTGTCAAGTAGTGGCTGGAAGTTTGCCAGGCCAAAAACGGCAATTTCCTTTTTTGCGCCAAGGAAAATGGGGCCGTTTCCTGATGGATCACCGGCATTGCCAAACCCCATTTTTGTCCACTGACCCGAAGCTTTCAACGCAATCGCGAGCCGCACCTCCGAGGCTGGGAAGTTAGTTGCACCGAGGCGAACCAGTGCTTCCTTTCTTCTATGTCCCCGTTGTGTTAGAATATTTTTTCAGGCAACGCCCCAAACGCTTATTCGAATTGAGGCATTTGACTTGCAGTGGACTTATTCCCTTTTGCTTAATTTGTTGGTTGAACTCAACAGAAATGGCCCCCCCGCCCTTCTACCTATTTTTGGGTTGCTTGGGTTGGGCCACACTTGGGGTTGGAACTGTTGGGGTCCAATGATTCACTTGGGAACTTAGGCCCATCTATTTGGAGTCTCTGGGCGTTTCTACCGCCCACACTTTGGCGGTGCTGGGCAGCGATCATGAAGCGGATCGTTTGACAAGGGACGAGTGGTACACCGGCGAGGCGAGTTGCGTGACGCACTCGTTCACACCCCATCCGATTTGGGAAACACAAGCTTACTGATTCGGGAAAACGAGGGAAACCTATGTGAGTCTTTAAGAATAGGTCTTTAGGACATATTATAAACATCGCCATGCCTTCAAAGGAGCCACGTGTTTGTAAGTTTATCCTGTCCCTCTATTCATAGTGAATAACTAGACGACGAGTGGCCCGGAAGCATAGAGGCAAGTTGATGCAGGTGAGGTAACTCTCGCAAAGTTAGCATGAGGAGTTGGCAGGCGAAGCAATTCTCAAAAAGTTGGCATGAGAAGCTGGCAGGTTAAGTAACTCTCGAATAGTTGGCTGGCAAAGTTGGCGGGTGAAGTAATTCTCGCAAAGTTGACATGAGAAGTTGGCAGGCGAAGTAACTCAAGAGAAAAGTTGGCATGAGAAGTTGGCAGGTGAAATAACTCTCAAAGAGTTGGCATGAGAAGTTGGCAGGTGAAGTAACTCTCGAAAAGTTGGCGTGAGAAGCTGGCAGGTGAAGTAATTCTCGAAAAGTTGGCACGAGAAGATGGCGCGTGAAGTAACTCTCGAAAAGTTGGCGTGAGAAGCCGGCAGGTGAAGTAACTTTCGAAAAGTTAGCATGAGAAGTTGGCAGGCGAAGTAATTCTCGAAAAGTTGGCGCGAGAAGTTGGCAGGCGAAGTAACTCTCGAAAAGTTGGCAGGCGATGTTGGCAGG